AATTAGTTATAAATTGATAAAATTAGTTAAATTAAATAAATTTATAATATATTTGTGTGACTTTAACAAAAATTTCGGGTGGTCATAACCATGATACATTAATTGTGCCATGGCTCATGGGTGGAAAATCTAATGGGTTGTAAAATTAGCAATTCGAGGAAAACTGGAATTCTCTGGACTGATATGTAGAGGAGTGTGTAAAGATTATATTATATAATATTATTACGAAGAAAGGTTCGTAAAACCGACCTTAGCTCAGTTGGTAGAGCGGAGGACTGTAGTCGGGTCAAGCCCACAGCTAATCCTTAGGTCGCTGGTTCGAATCCGGCAGGTCGGAATTTTATCATGTAATTTAGGCAAAAATGCGCATTTAATTTTCGTTTTTTATTTTTTATTTTTTTGGACAAGCGCACATTAGCAATTTAGCAGGGCTATACAGCCTTCAATTGCAAGCTTGGCACAGACAGAAGAGAAGCAAAAGCAGAAACACTGTTTCCGTCCCTCGGCATCGCTTCTTCTAAAGCAATATAGCAAATAAATGGTAAAGATTGGAACTTTCCCTTCTTGTTTCTGTTTGGTTCTCGAGAAAATATCAGTTCTTTCATCTTTTTTCTTTTCGGTGCTCTTCTTCTCGATTTTGCGTATGCATTTCTCTTGCATTGAAATTACAGTCTAGTTTCAGTTGGTGATGCATTTGTACTTGTATTCTTCGGATCAATTACTCGACTTCATATTGTTTTCGGATTCGATTTGGTTTTGCTCCATTGAGCTTCAAAGCGATTTTGTTGTCTAATTTTAAATTTTTGATATGTAATCTAGGCGAACTCATTGCGATTGTATTTGACATGCATACGGAATACCCTCGAGGCTGCCATGTGTCTGCAGGTATGAATCTGTTCTAATTCATGCTCAAATTCTGCATCTCGTAGTTTTTTTGAGAGTTGAAAGTTATGTAAAAATCTCCGTGGTCTGTTTTGTATGGAAGTTTTTTCTGTTTTCATGGTACTTTTTGCCTAATCCACTTAGTTTGTTGGCAAATTGTCAAAAATCCGGAAAAAATTGTAGTCTTCCTTGCACGATGACAAAATAGACTTGAATTAACATGTATCCAGCCCTGTTTTTTTTTTTTTTTTTTTTTTTTTTTTAATGATATTATATATAAAAGATTGTAACAATTAATTAATTCGGTTACCTCCTATAATCAATGAAGATGTTGATGGGAAATGATTTTAGGATGATTTTTTTAATTATTTTTTTATATAATTTAATATGTCATTTGATTGATTTTTTCAATTTATATGAAACTTGTGATATCAAATACATTTTTTTATTTAATAACATGTGAAAATTATATTAAAAAATAATATAAAAAAATTATCTCTATAGCAACATATGTATTATTTTCAAGATAAAAATGCTGTTTAATTTGTCTGAATTTCAATTCAAACCAGGGAATGAATTTCAAAAAATATCTCCTTTCCATTTTATGGAATGGTGTGTATTATGTGGTATATGAATTTAGGCATAAATATTAAATCAACTTGTCGTAAAAAATTGACGAAAATTTTTAAAGGGCAATAATATGTATATAAATTTTTTTGTTTAATTTATACATCTTTTAATAAATAAATAAACATAATATTATTAATTTTAATAAATTAAAAAATAATTATTAAATAATATATATAATTATTGAAAAATTATTTTTTAATTTTAAATAAATTAACGGCCATCTCAACGCTTAAAAAGTTCTGAAAATAATTTAGGATAAAAAATAATCAAAATGCAAAATTCATTTACTAAAACTTGCATTTTTGTTATTTTTATTTTTTCCATTCTCCGGAATCTCGATTTCCTCCATCTCTATTTGTTTGGACATACGCGTCGTTTCCTCAACACTCCATCTGTCCATTCAACTGTATTCCGTCACCGGGCTGTAACTCCACCCTGCATTTCCCCTCCTCTCCTCCCTGGCCTCCTCCGGAAACCCAAGAGAAGGGAAACTCCACAATTCCCGCCGCAATAATCTCAATCCATCTTGAAATGGTGATGAAGCGCGTTCCTGATTGGCTCAACAGTTCCCTCTGGTCCTCCCCTCCCGCCGAAGATCGCCTTCGCTACTCCTCCGCCTCAGCCGCCGCCCCCGCCCCCGCCCCCGTCTCCGAGCCGGCGTTGCAGCCTCCGGTTCCAGTTTCACCTCCCGTGGTAGCAAGACCCGACCCTCCTCGTCCTCCCAAATCCGAAACCAGAGATCCAGCTCATGGTAACGACAGTGATAGCAGAAACAGCAATAATGATCGGAACGGAAGCTCGTCGGTCCCTTCTCCCGAAGACTTCTCTCGTCAGGCCCAGCTCTTGGCTGAGGTTAAACAATGATTCTATTATTTTACTCATTCTTTTTTCGTGAGCATGTGTTGTCTGTATTGATTACTGATTATCTTTCTTTCAACTTGTTTCAGTTGTCCAAGAAAGTAATAAATATGATGGAATTGCGGAGGATTGCATTGCAGGGGATTCCGGATGGTGCTGGAATTAGGTCTACTGTCTGGAAGGTAGGAGCCAATTTATGTTTGCTTTCTGAGAAAATAGAAAATGTGGAAAGTCTTCTGCCTTTTTTTTTTCACTTTCTTTTCTTTTGTTATTGGTGAAAGGAGAAAGGAATTTTCTGGGGAAACTCAGTTTTTGAATCGAGAAATGCATGTTTTGATGCATCATTTCTGGTATCCTTTTGAATTCTATGTCCACAAAGGAAGGTGCAAGGCCTTTGGTGTTTTATATTTTTTTATGAATGTTAAGATGGTGCATTTTGGTTCTTTTGGCAGCTTCTGTTGGGGTATCTGCCACCTGATCGTGGACAGTGGTCATCTGAATTAGCTAAGAAGAGGTCTCAGTACAAACATTTTAAGGAGGAGCTCTTGATAAATCCTGTAAGCCATTTTGTTTACTAATACATGGTAACTCAGTAATTGGTTTGTACAGTGATTTTGAAGTTGTGCATCGTGTGCACACTAGGCTAGTGTGGTTCCCTTTCTGTTACGATTGATTTTGATAGTATTACCAAAGGAATAAAGAGAATAAAGACTCGAGTTAAATTGCCTTACCTGGAAGATTGACTTGACAATCTTGATGTGGTAAAGACCAAAGAGCAGTAGAAGCCCTCTTTTAGCATGTGGCTTAGTCCTTAAATCAAGATGTTGCTGTTTGTTTAGCCCCCTTTTTTATTTTTGGTTCTTCTCTTAACAAACAAGAACTCATGGGGCCATTTTGCTGCCCTAACTTTGAAATTAAACGAAGCACCCTTTGTCATGTTATGGAATATCAGTTAAAGAAAAGAGTGGTATACTTGTTTGGTCTGCCCCTCTCCCCCAACCCCCCCAATTTCCTTGTCTTTTTGTTATCCATAATTTCTGGATTTCTGATTGTTTCTGTGGCTAGTCAGTCAGAAATCACAAGGAAGCTGGAAAAATCTATGGATTGTGAAAAAGATGAATCAAAATCTGAAAGCAGTGGCATGCTGTCAAGATCCGAAATAACTCACGGAGAGCATCCATTGAGCCTTGGGAAGTCTAGCATCTGGAATCAATTCTTCAAGGTATTTATGTCTGGCATGTTTGTAAATTTGTTCTAGAGGCCATGCCTTAAATATCTGTTGATTTCTGAATTGAGCACTTTAGCACTTTTGTGATTATTGAATTGAGCTATTTTCCATGAAATTTGTTGATTTCAAGTCATGATAGTTTTAGTGCTCAGCTGGCACATTCAGAGAAGAGATTTTGAGGAAAATACAAATAATTGATTAGTAAATAATGAATGAAGGAGCTGGAGCTCTGGATAACATTAAATGCTTTTAATCATCAAACCTTTCCTGTTCCAAGAATCCTCCTCGTGCACACTACTATGTACAGTCAGGATAAGATTAAATAAGTATTCAATGGCTTGGTATTTTTTGGCTGTAAGTATCTCGGTAATTGTTTACAGGGTACAAGGTTGTAGTTTTGTAGTGTGGAAATGTATGATAATACCTAGAATTCTTATTAGGAGTAATGGCCTTAGCATGATGAATTGTTGAAAATGGGGTCTTGTAAGAAGCCCAACTAGTTTTGGTTCAAAACCTAGTTGCAAGGACTGTGTCATCAGCACCTATGGCCATAATTATCATATTTCTTGGGCAGAACATACTATTTTGCAAGAAATGTGGCTTTTAGGACCTAGATTCATTTTGAGAGTAGCAGGAAACAGACTTGGAACAGTGGAAAGAAATATTTTTGCATGGTTGAGATTGTAGACAGTTACAGCTTACCACCCTTATAATGTTAGAAGCTCTGCAATCCCCTTAACTAAATTGTGTAGGATATGATAGAATACATCCCTTGGACAATCTTTTGCCCTTTTCACTTTTTCAAATTTCTGAACCAAAATTTGGCATTCTCTAGGACACAGAGATCATGGAGCAGATAGACCGCGACGTGAAGCGCACTCATCCAGACATGCACTTTTTCTCTGGGGATTCACCACTTGCAAAATCAAATCAGGTGGTTTTTTCTACTTGTTTTGTCTTTTTGGCATGATATTTAATATTAATGCAAGTCATTTGCCTGACTCATATGTTATGTTTGCCACATCTGCAGGAGTCTCTAAAGAACATATTGATTGTTTTTGCCAAGTTAAATCCGGGTATAAGATATGTTCAAGGGATGAATGAAATCTTGGCACCAATATTCTATGTATTCAGAAATGACGCTGATGAGGAAATGGCAGTAAGTAGATCTTATTGATTTCCTTATCAGTTTTTCGCATTAGTCAATAACATGTCTGTCTTTTCTTGAACAATATTCCATCATACTTCATGGTGTTATTCTGTTTTACTGCCATGTTTTGCTTCCTTTTATTTCATTATGTTTCTCATTTCCCATAAATATTGCAGGCTGCTGCTGAGGCAGACACATTCTTTTGTTTTGTTGAGTTATTGAGTGGGTTCCGTGACCATTTCTGTCAGCAACTTGACAACAGTGTTGTGGGAATTCGTTCCACAATTACTAGGTTGTCACAGCTCCTGAAAGAACATGATCAAGAGCTTTGGCGTCATCTTGAGGTCGCAACTAAGGTAAGACATTTTCTAAACGAAATGTCTTCCCATTATACTTTGAATTCCTCAATTTCAACAGATTCATAGCTTCAGCCATTTTTTTAGTTTTGATAAACCTTGATCCATTAAATATATTTGATCTTATATTGCTAGATTATATACTAGCACTTTCCCTTCCACAAGTGTTTTCCCCTGTCCCCCTCTTTCCTGTTTCAATTATTTTATCCAAATTAAGAGTTCCTAATGGCACTTTGTATGAATATCACAGGTCAACCCTCAATTTTATGCATTTAGGTGGATTACTCTGCTCTTGACACAAGAATTCAATTTCGCTGACAGCCTTCATATTTGGGACTCACTTTTAAGTGACCCTGAAGGTCCTCAGGTAGGATTAAAGATCAATTTATATGCATGTGGTTAGTCTTGTTTAGAGGATCCTATTTCTCCAAGAGCCCAAATGTAAAAGAGCAACGAAGACGCCCTCTGCTAGAATTCTTCGACCCATAAGAAGTTCTAGATAACAAGATAATTTTCCTGTGTATAGTTCTTCAAAAGTTAACGACATTTGTTTGTTATTGCAGGAGACCTTGCTTAGAATATGTTGTGCGATGCTGATTCTCATTAGAAGGCGCCTGCTAGCAGGGGATTTCACTGCTAATCTTAAGCTACTCCAACACTACCCCTCAACAAACATTAGTCATTTGCTCTATGTTGCAAATAAGTTGCGCACCCTTTCATCTGGGTAAAATAATTGATCATGCTATTATTTTCTCATTTCCTTCGTTCTTGACCCCCATTCTACGTTTCAAAAGTAATTTTTGTAAATTCCTGGTTGTAAATTGGTTGGGACTTGAGAGAAACAGCTAACATGCTGGCAGAGCATTTTTCTCTTGGCTTTCTCATACACCAATATATATTTTTTTTTAATGATTTGGATTTTATATGCTTTTGAGTTGCACAGAAGGAATGTTCACACTCGTTAAATTTCCTCTGTTTTATTTGTTTGACCTTGCTGCTTTTGTCCTTCTTAACTTTGAATGAAACTTGGCTAAACCGAAAAGATAAACGCTCTTTATCTCACGTGCTGTTGTGATTGCCATCATCTAACTGGACGAACTAATGCTTATTTATGTAATGATTACTTTGTAATGATATTTTTATAAATAATTAATTTTTACTTTTAAAATACTATTTTTTTTTTTTTTTTTACATTTTTGTCATGAAATCAGCTGGAACCGTTGCCCTGAAAAAGAGAGATATGAACCTTTACAAACATGGCTAGAGTCACTTGACCCGAAAGGTCAGGTTCTTTTAAAATACTAATTTTATTTAATTTGATTAACAAAAAATAATTAATAACTATAATTATTAATTAATAAATTAATTTATTTTAAGATACTGGTTTAGACTAAAATTGAAATTATTCTAGTAAAATTAACAATGTAGACAATAGTAATAACCCACTCTACGATTGATTCATGATTTGTTTCAACACCGAACTTATCAAATAAATGCCACTGGCCCACTGCACTAACAATTTAGGAAAGTTCATGATCTCCGAAATACTGGATCGAGAAATAATAATCAAATCTACATTGCATTCACTTTTTCTCCATAAAAATGTTGTTTCAAGCAAATCTGATATAATACAAGTGGCCTAACTGTAGCTGTATAACAATACAATCTGGAACTGCAAAACATTACACTGTTGTGCTCCCACCATTTTGAATTTTTAACAATCGAATCCGTCAGTGTGATAGAATAGTAGAACCTGTAATGCAAACCACAAAATGTTTTGAAAATTGATAAGCCATTAACTAATAATGATTAAACCACTAAGTGAAATCTCTTCTTTCCTGGGAGCAAAAGCAAAATATGAAATTAGGCAGGAAAACCGAACCAACATCAATTATCAGAAGGAATGACAATTTGCTCTTCCTAAAGCAGTTAACTGAAATTGAAGCTATATTTCATTTTTGGCTTCTTTGAATATTTAACATCACCATGGTGCTTTCTATTATATCTGATACAAAGCTGCAATGCACATTTCTGAACCTATAGTCCCTATAAACTAGCAATATCACTTCATAGTAAGACACGGATTGGATGCATAAAGATACCTGAAAAACCTCAACACTGTATTGAGAGCCTGTTTCTTTCTCCAGTTTCTGATATCTCACCAGCAAAATCTTCTACAAAAGTTCTCAGCTTTCCACCCCGCTTATTGTTGAATTTCTCTCAGTAATGGATTCTAGATCACCTGTTACTTCACTTTCCATCTGGCCTTCTAAAGTTTCAAAAACATTATCTGGTGGGCATTTGTCAGCAGGATTCTGGGGATCTGTTTGACAGAAGCATTCAGGCCAAGAATTTGTATAAAATGATTCTGGAGGAACCCGCTTGTGAGGCCCACCAAAGTTTGTTTTGAGCATGACAAGCCTAATAGCTTCTTCAAAACCAGCAGTCTTTCCCCTCTCTCGATCAATGAAAATTGGAGCAAGAGCTTTTCTGTCAGGTCTAATAGTAGTCCGGAAGCCATAATAGAGGCGGTGACCCAGAAGATTGTTTGCAAAGTTGCTTGGTCCATCATATGTTGGCATAAAAATGTCAGAAAGGAGGCAGACCATGTAATCAACAGCAGACCCTAGTAAGCCTTGTGTGTTGGTGACAAACTCCTCTGAAGAATCCACAGAACTGTGGTTCTCAAGGCGAGGGAACAGGGCTTGAAATGGTTTCATGAATCGCTTCCCACCAAACAGATCTCCAGCTGCTAGGTATATCCTAGTAGAATTGTCAAATCCCATTGCACGCAAGATTAGGCCAACCTGCAGATACAAAAGCATTGCAAAATTTGACATTTACTCATCCTCTCCCTTCTATCATTGAAGATGGTAAAATGAAAATGATAAACAGGATAGGATACCTCTTCTGGGGTTAATGGACATTTTCCAATGGCTCTTCTTTCATGATAAACAAGCTTCTTTGGTGCAAAGTTTACCTCTCTATACTTCTTCAGTATCTTCTGCTCTTCAGGGGTAAATATATCAAAACACCTGTGAATGATTCATGCCCACTGGTCATTCAAGGTCTTCATAGAAACCAGTTGATGATGATAAAATTTAAATCCTTTCTAGAAATCAATAAAGAAGTCACGATGGACCAATATCTGAACCGTGAATGAATAAACATGTCCATACTTTGCATTAAGTGATGACCAAACTATTGGATTTACATTCTCAACTCTAGCAAAACATAGAAAACCAAAGTTGGAAAACAAAGGAAAAAAGAAAAAAAAAAAAAAATGAAACAAAGCATTTATAATTCAGTTTGCATACATCTGATTGGTGAAAGTTGACTCTTCTTTCCATAAAAGTTCTACAAGCTTCTGCCTGACTATAGTAAAAACGTTCCAAACCCCTTTTTATCCTTATTATTGCAATGATAATCATTTCAACAAATTGACAGTCTATTTTGACATACTCATCTGTGCATAATGCATAATGCATATGTGCACCATGTCCCTGCTATGTTGTGTATTTTTTTCTGAAAATTTGTGCTTTGGCAGCATAATTTTGCCTGTTCTTTGCAGCCAAAAACAGCTAGAGCTTTTAGAGACATATAGACCAACCAATTAATGGGTGCCTAATCATATATCCCAAGAATGTGACTATGCATACAATTGTTTGCAGACTAAATAAGAAGATTAACAAAGAACATACCCAGCAAATGCAAGCATATCCATCTCAAAACGAAGATGTATTGACATGAAATGACCTTGTGCACGAAGTTTATCAACTATTGACTCGCTTAACTTCATAATATTCGGCTTGAACCTTAAAGCATGATAGTTAACTCGGCACCTCAGTCGCTGATACTCAGGGTTGTCAATTTCTTCAGCCAAACGATGAGAGAAAGGGGTCAAATATATTGCACCATGCTGCTTCATTTTCTCTAGAGCAACTGTTGTGTACCAGCTGATAGAAGCATCCCTTGGAGGCCGAATCTAAATCAGAATGTAATGTGAAGGGATAAGAAACGTGAAAGAAAAAAAAAAAAACCAAAAAATTATTTTTAATTAATATTGAGAAAAATATGTCAAGACTACACCTGATACGCTTTTATCTTCTTGGTTTTTCCATTTTTTCGAATTTCAGGTATACTTTCCACAATCTGTATGTCATACCTCAGTGTCCAGATAAAATGTTCAACATCATAGATGCCTTGGAAGCCACTGGACCAAATAAGGACAATATCAAAGCATTTTATCACAAGCTATGCACCTCAGGACCAAGTAAAGATTATACCATATGAAACAATATTAACTTCTAGATTGCAATTCAATTTGAGACATTTTCAATTTGAGAACTTACAGCAAAAGACAAGACAAAGCATACAGACATAGACCATTTACTGGTTAATCAATGCCAAATTGACTTGAAGTGCTTGCAGTTCATTAAGATAACAAAAGGTAGAAAGCCATCTTAGATATTAAAAACAGACTAGAACAATAATAAAGCTAAAGCGATAGCAGTCAAACATGGACAATGAGGTTTATAAAAACATTGAACAATTTATACTCTAATTATTACCTGTCATCATGCCAGAAGGAGTTAGCATCCAATTCAGGCAGCACAAGTGTAGCATTCATGATTCGTGCAGCAAGAACAGCATTACAAATCTAGAAAACCAAAAGGAAAGGGGTACACTAATTACTTATTTCAATAACAAGATTAAACTGCAACACCACACCAATGTCTAATTTAAATCCAGTTCCTTATTGCAAATTCTTGAACTTCAGATCCAGAAGATTTAGAATTAAAAAAATAATAATACAAGAACAACTGAATAACTGGCAAAAGTTTATCCTGCTACATGCAAATGCAATTGACATAATAATTTAGTGCAGTTTGTGAGGAGTGAAAGACAAACCGCACTGCGCTGTTGATTCAGTCCACCATTACATCGAACTCGAAGATACCCATTAGTCTCTTTTGGAGGGGCTGTTATCATACAATAGTCAGAACATCCATTAATTCATTTAATGGGAATTTTATTTTAAACATGAGAAGAGCTTACGGGGCCAATCAGATCGTGGAGCAGATGATGGCTTCCATCCACCAGCCTTGGCCTTTTCCCAAAGTTCTTCCACATTGATCTGATCATCAAACATATGATCAATAAAAATAGCCATTTCCCTTTTCATTTTCCCATCACATTCTCAGCATCCAAACAAAACCCCAATCAATATTACCACTACTGGACTAAAATCAATCTAATGCCATAACTAACCTCTGAGGGTTCGTTAGATCCACTGCTTCCACCAGTCGTGACGGAGAACAGAAAAGAGAGTGTGCAGATCAAGAGAACTATAACCGCAACCGACAGCTGCGCCAACAGTCCCTTGGCTCCGCCTCCTTGCTTGCCATGCTGCCTATGCAACCCCGGCCTAAAAAACCAAAGCACAAACCAAAATGAAACAGTGAAAACAATAGAAGAAAAAGATAAG